TCTAAAGTGAAGAAGGAAGTGCCTTAACTCTGATGTACTAAGAGTTCCTAAGTAGCTTGCTTGGTGTTTATGGACTAAACTAGCAGTCTTGCTTGAGATGGAAAACGTCACTTCAATAAATGATGAGTTTTTCCTGTTTTGTGTGCTCTGGCTATACTACTGTGACTTGTGTCTGTGAAATAGTCATGGGGAGTAGACAGAGATGCGTATAGGCGGTACTTACGGGGCTACCAATAAGCTCCTGCAGTTTGTTTACATTTTTACATGATGGTTCATGTGTTTCTGAGCCTTCACGTAATGACAGAGAGCGCAGGAGGAGACAGTGAACACGTGTCCTGTAGCGTGGTCAGGAGCTTCGTGAGGTTCAGGTGTGTGTGTTATAGTGCTGCTTGGCTGAACTGGCACTGCACGTTCCATGCACGGGAGTGCTCTGTCTTTTGGAAGACTCTATATTGGGGGGGGGGGCGGGAAACCCAAAAACAAACAAAAAAACCCCACAACAACAGAATGGGGGCTGTTAAACCTCTATTTTTATCCTAAACTTTTTATTTCTAACATGTTCTTACCTGCCATGATTTCTGATATTATGCTTTCCTTTGGTTTTTTTTCAAACTCTGAGTTAGTATTAAACAATGTTAGTATTGTGAATTATGCTGCCAGTACCCAGGACTTTAAAACTGCAGGACACTTGCTCATAGATGGGAGACTATTCAGAAGGGTTGTAACCTTGTAGGTATGTTTGATCGCTTTCTTTGGAGAGCTGCATTGACTTAAGAATACCCATGCTTTATTTACATGGTGTCAGCTTGTGGTGCTAATCAGCAGCACGGTATCCACTTGCAATCCCTCTGTCAGAGGGGCTGAAGTGATTAGAAACAATACTGGCCACACGTTCTGGGGCAAGATTGTTTGATGGGGAGTATCCTGGAGAGAGCAGCGAGTTTGAGAGATGGGCAGACTGAGAGGTGTGAGCCGCAGAGAAAGCTCCGTAGGTTTCACTTGGTGCCAATGTAAGCGTGCTTGCCTTGCATCTCCCGTTGTAGTGTAGTGATAAAAGTGAAATGTCGCTTTGAGGAAGAAATAGCCTTCTGGGAAGGCAGTGTAGCTTTACCAGTAACGTACTTCTGTTGCTGAGGTTTATTTTTGGGGTTGATTTAATGTTATACAGTACTGTAAAACCAAAATAACTTCCTTCCCAGCCTGTGGTTATTTTCAGGTTTGATTCTTCATATGAATGACTTGAACTTTGAGTTCTGGCTCACAGGGTTAGAGGGGAGAGATGATGTTGGGTTATGGAAGGCGTGGCTTGGACAGATTTCTTTCTCAAGTCTTGTCTTGCTTAATGACCCATAGAGAGTCCTCGTGTGTACACAGCGTAGCAAGGATTATATTGTAGATTTGTTACGTGCTTGAAAACTTGGCTATGACTTGAAAAGTCAAAGCCACGTTGTTTTATCACTTTGCCAAAGCTCTTAATTTGACCCACAAGTTCCAGGAGGCATAGCAGCTTTTCTTGCTTTTCCTAATAAGCTAAAAGTTAAGTAAAGAATCAGAAAGAGTTGAGGTTATGACAGTTATTTTTCTTGGTGCTGCTCTTCTGTCCTGTGCCTCTTTACCTTTCATGGTTATCTATCCAGATTGGCGTAGTTCAGTTAAACCCCTCGGTGCATGGGATCACAGAATAGTGGAAAAGGAAATCTTACCTAACACCAAATTCCAGCTGGGGTGATCCTGAGAAATTCCGGGTAAAGTCAAACAACTACAGATTTGCACTTTCACCTGTTTTTACACGCAGAGTAGCTCAGATCCCTTCTGTATTGACTTTGGGATTACACAGCCAACTGAAGTGGCAGTTTGGCATTTCAGTGAAGATGGGGGAGGGCTGCCCTCAGTGTGTAGCAATAAAGGCAAATAAGGGCATCTTTTGTCAAGTGTTATTCTTTCAAACTTTTTTTGGCTGAATCTGTGAAGTTGACTTACAAAGGGTTTTTCCTCATTTGGCAGTTAAGGGAGTTTGATTCCTTTTGGCTGTCTAGATTGAAGCTGCGTGACTGCACTGCTCCATCTGTTCACTCATGGCAATATACAGAGAGGTTATGTGATCTTAAGCTAAAATTAACATCTTAAGAAGCATAGGTTTAAAAATTAGAGAACTTGTACATTAAGAAGTATGGCTCTTGTCAAAATGGAAATGTCTCCTGGAATGTCTAGTAGAACAATACATATTTTTAACATGGGATTCTTAGTGTTTGTGTTGCATTACCTGCAATATGTCAAGTCTGTTTCATTTACCTATTTGGTCAGTTCCTTTCATAGAGGAATAAATAAATTCGATGATTAAGTTTCTGGTGTGTTGTTGTTGTTGAACACTTCTCATATAATGTAGACTTCCAGTTGTCATAAAGCAACTAATAACTATATTTCTTGCATCTGTAGTTGATAAGCATTAGTTAGTAAGCCACAGTTATTCACTTCCTGACAGATCCCTTAGGTAATTTAGATGTGATCAGTGTGACTTGAAATTACGAACTGCTAGATCCTGTCGTCAGCTGTTGAAATTAGGAATTTGAAATGTACCACCAGCAAGATAAGAAACGTAATTGCTAATTAGTGGTAGGACAGAGTGGATGTTTTGTGCTAATACAAACTGATAATTAAGCAGGATAAGAGGATTGGGAATAGCTTTAGCTGATCCATAGTCTTAAAGGGAATAAACCACAAAAAAGCTGTAGATTTAATTTTAGGGTATACAGACTGACTCAGCTTTCTCTTAATTTGGTAAATACTCCACACCTGACATGATGATGAAAAAAACCTTAATTCTGAAAGTATTACCTATACAAAATGGCCCTGCACCTCATGTCTTAGAAATACAACCAGCTTATCTGATGGTGATCTGCTAGCATCAAGTTCTGAACTGTGGCAGTAAGTAATTTTAAATGCAATATTCCTTCTACAGGATGAATACTCCATATTTCCTCAGACGTACTCCATAGACATCAATGGCTACATTCTTGTTTATTCAGTCACGTCAATAAAAAGGTAATAAAATGTGTTGTGTTCTTCTGGTTCAGACATTAACCAGATATATGCTGGCTTCAGCTCCTGCCTCTGCTGTATTTTATTTACATGTGTTTAATTCTTTTAGTCTCTTTTTCCCTTAGAAGTGTAATGGAAATTAAAATTAATGTTTTTTCAGAAATTTCCCCTCAGATCCAAATGTCACAGACAGTTTGCAGACTAATATGCAAGGTACCATGTAAGAAATGAGACAGTACTGAACTACGTTGTTTTGAGGTGTAAGTAAAAGTACGTAGAATGATTTCAGGAATAAATAGAGTTCATTGCTGTAATATCATATACAAAGGCAGACTTAAATAGGAACCTAAAGGGCACTGTGTATTTATGTGAAGTACCCAATTAGTTGCTGAAATGGTCCCTCAGGCTTTTGCTTGTTACAGTACTGAGATTTCTTTGCCTTCTTGTCTTGGATTGTTCTGGTTAACCGTCAAGAATTTTCATATACATAGCAATATATCACTTTTGGCCTGTAGAGTCACTCTTGACATGCCGCAGCAAATAAGATTATTTGAAAAATTTCCCACAGTATCTATTTTGTCCTCGCTGTTAGCTGTCCATCATAGCTGGAGTCATTTACTTGCAGGAAGTATCTCAGCCTTCCTAAGACTTTGTCTTCTGTTATTTTGTCCCTTCCTCTGGTCATCTTGCTTTGTTTAAATACTGGTCATTTTTTAATAGATCTTAATTTTCTAATGTTATACAACATCTTTGTTATGACAGCCAACATAACCCTATTTTCTTAAATTTTTATTTGACTAAAATGATAAAGACCTTAGATCTTTTGCTCTTATCAAGTAGAACAGAAGTTCATGCTTCCCTTGTACTTGCAAGGAATCTGATCAACTTTTTATGAGTGCTGAAGCATTCCATGTCTTTTCCTATGAATCGGACAAAACTGCTCATCTCAAGTGCTCTTTAGTAGACAGTCATAAAATACAGGTAAACAACAACTTGACTGTTGGCTCTTCTGGATACGCTCTGATTATAAACGTCTGTTGCTTGCAAGATCTTTGATGTTGAACAGATTTTCGCAGTCCTTCGGTTTTCATTTTCAGTTCTGAAGTAGTGAAGGGCAAGCATGTGTGATCTGGAGGAAATGCAACAGATGTTAAGCTTTCATGTGTGTCTAGAGATACTAAACTACCCAGCTCCTTTTGGTTTGTTTTTTTGGGGGATCTTTTTTGTTTGTTTTTTGAGTAACTTGTTTGAAATGGGAGTTACTATTCTCAGCCTTAAGTAGACAGTTGTCCACTCCTAAAGAGAATAGGAAAATGGTCATTGATTACTGGTACTGTGAGGACAAAAACATCTTTGACTGAAATCAAAGTAGATTGCTTGGAGCCTTCTGCAGCTTGTGCTGTTCCCTGGTTGGGAGCTAAAGGACGTGTTGGAAGAGTAGTATTAGGATGAGGGGTAATGTCTTTAAACTGAAAGAGGGTAGATTTAGATTAGGTAGAAGGAAGAATTTCTTCCCTGTGAGGGTGGTGAGACACTGGCACAGGGTGCCCAGAGAAGCTGTGGCTGCCCCCTCCCTGGCAGTGCTCAAGGCCAGGCTGGATGGGGCTTGGAGCAACCTGGTCTGGTGGAAGGTGTCCCTGCCCATGGCAGGGGGGTTGGAACTAGTTTGGGTTGGAAGGGACCTTGAAGACCATCCGTTCTGTGATTCTTTTTCAGCTACTCCAGTTGTTGTCTTGAGTTTAGCAGCACAGATGAAGAAATGAAGATCTGTTTTCTGTGGTAGCATTCAATCAGTTAAAACAGAAACCACGTTATGGAGAAAATACTAAGAGAACAAGATGTGTTAAGACTGTAGGTAGATAGTCTTTTCATCAGTATTTTGGTGTTGATCAATTTATTCCAAGTTTTTTTGTTTCTTCCTTTAAATTTCAAAGTATCAATGATCCTGTCTCATTCAGGTCCTTATGTTCTGTATCAAGACAGTGTTTAGGTGATAGGAAAGAACCTCCACAGTACTCTGGTAGCTTATGTGACTTGGCCAGGCAATCAAATTACAGTCACCATCTGTCTTGACTTCTGTTAAGGTGCATATATTGATCTGAGTGTTGATCCAGCAAGGGTGAGAGCTTTGACAGCAAACTTGATAGAAATGCCCTTTTAAAATTATCATCTTCCCCGCTAACCTCCAGTGGGAAGTTTAAATAGGACTTGATAAAAGCTAATGCCCTACATTTTTTCATAGTTGCAGGCTCTTGGCAGCAAGGTTACTGGAAGGCTTTTGCTCTAGTTCAGCTTAATTAAATTCCAATTTTGTGTCTTGCTAGGTTCCATGATTTTGTGTAACACGTTTATGTGACAGCTAGTAATTCTTTTGTTGTATTTCACACGCTGAGCTGTTTGCTGTAACCCTATTTGCTTGACAGATCTGGAAAGGACCTCTTACGGTCTCTACATCTCTCACTGTTTTGCCACTTGGTGTGATGATGCTCTTTTTGGATGGGTCAATATCTGTCTTAAAGTGTGTCCCTGCTCCTTCTAGCCTTACTAATTTGGACGGCTGTGTAGAACACTAAATTGGTCTGGTCAAGCCAATTTCATTCCTGGCAGTTCTTAGCAACTTGTTTCTGTGTCAGAATTGTGTTTGAGTTTAAATAGCACTTCTCTTTTGGTTTCCACGTTGCTCTGTTAATAGTTAAGTTGTTTATTTGTAATATTTTTACTAAAAATGGAGCTTGTGAACTACCCTGGCCAAGCAGAGGGGTACACAGGGTTGGGAAGTGAAGAGCCCAACAAGAGCATTGTGCACTGGAACCTCAGGTGGGGACTCACCGGGGTGCTGTGCAGTGGCATGGTGTTTTTCTGGCTGTGCTGGAAACAACACACCTAATAGTGGAAAGGGAACAGTGATTATACTGTGTTAGTGATTCCGTTATCCTGTGGCTAGTATGCTAGATCTTTCCTGTTGCTTCGGACTGAGAAACAGTTTTGTGGTCAGTAGCAGAATTTTTTTGTAGTATTTTTATTCTTCTTTCAGTTGGCAGGGTCACCTAGTTCTGCATGTAGCAATGCCTCTCAACGTGGTCGCCACCAAGCTCCATTTAACTCTTATTTTTGAAATGGCAAGTTCTCAAGAGCAGAATTTCACTCATACCTTTTCAGCATAAGCTCTTTGTAACCCTAAAGTCCTTTCACCAATTCCCCATTTTTATGTAATCAGTAGTGTCATACTTGAGTTATGAATAGTAAATTGTGCCAGACTAAGTCACGCTTTTGTTTGCAAATAACTCGTTTTCTTGATAGGATACAGTAAAACTGTTAGCTGAACGTGGAGAAGTATTGAGTTCTACTTGGTCTCGAAAATTATTGTTGAAGTCAGATAAATTGACCTACTTGACAGAAAATCCTTAAATTTTTGTTCTAGAAGTGAGAAGTTTTAATGATTCAAATAGCTTGAATAGGGCTTTTAGGCATCAGTTCTTTGAGAGCTCAGAGTTGGAAGTATGTTTGAGTGCTGCTCTATTTTTAAGAGTGTCAGTTCTAATTGAAATGCAGTGCAAGTCAGGACACTGCCTGTAGCTAAGAACCTTGGAAGTCAGGGAAGTTTGGGTCACTTTTTTGTTGTCTAGTTGTGTGTCTTGCCTGTGAGCCTGTGCCTCTCTTAAAACAAATCTGAATTGTGCATTTCATGTGCCAGCATTTTTCCCGTAATGTAATTAAAGGAGGGCAACATCTGCTCTTTAACCCCGTTTTAGTATTTCTGAGAACAAGTTGTAATGTCAAGTGCAGTGGATTGTTAGTGAGATTTTTTGGTATTTCTCAGTACTGCTTCTTACCTCCCGTCATCCCAACGGCACGTATGCATGGTAGGTGAACAGACAGCACGTATTTGAATGGCCACTGTTTCGATCCCCTCTTGTGGCTCAGCTTACTCACTTTTCCGTAGAAAATTAAAAATTAGGCATCTTTTGGCTTTCACATAAATGAAAGTAAAGAATTCTGTATGTATGAACTAAGCGTTCTTAGAAAAATAATGTGTTCTTCCAAGATGGAGTGTGCTTAACTAAATACTTTTTCTTTGAAACTGCTTTTATTTGACATGCTCATCCAGGGCTGTTGCACTCGGGCAGTTGAATTGCTTACTCCAGATACAAACCAGATGAGACGTGGGAGGGGTTTTTAGTCATTCTATTAGATGCGTTGGTCCTGGGTAATGTTTATTTCTGCAAATATCATGAGTGGGGAGGCTCTAACACTAGGCACAGGCTAGTCTTTGCTGCTTCTGGGACCCTTCTGTCCGTTGTACACGAATCGGTAAGACTTTCAGCATCTCTGTAGTTCTGCCACTATACATAGAGTAAGTTTAAAACACAGCGACCTACATGTGCATTTAATGGCTTGTGTATTGGGTATTAAGGATAAACGTTGGAGTGCATGTGTGACTTCATCCCTTTATTTTGCAGTTTTGAAGTGATAAAAGTTATCCATGGCAAGTTATTGGATATGGTGGGAAAAGTCCAGTAAGTAGTGACACTTTCATCTCATTTCACTGCAGGCATGTTACTAGTACTTTGTTCAGTATACTGTAACTGTTCTGAAGTTCTGAACTTTCTTTCACAGAATACCCATTATGCTGGTTGGAAATAAAAAAGACCTGCATATGGAACGGTATGTGAACCCCAGAATGTGTGAAACGCAGGACAGCAGCCGGCATTGGCTGCAATGCACTCGTTTTGTTCTTGGCTTTTCGTAACTCAAGTGAAATTGTAGGTTAAAATAAGGTGCTGGCAACCGAATTGTGTCCAGAACGTGAACGAGGAGCCGTGCCCTTTTGTTGTAGTGTTGACTTGTGCTATGAGGTTCCAGGGATGGTCGTTTAACACTTTGGGTTGGTTTTGGTTTGGGTTTTATTGGTTGTTTTGGGTTTTTTTTCTTGAAACAAGTAACAGAAGTGTATTTTTCACTTCTGGTATTACTTTCCTGGTATTGTAAAACACCAGGTGATATTACAGATTATGAAAACAAAGTTGGGGACAGCTGCTCTTGTGGGTCGCATAGCAGTTTTACCTGGCCTGGTAGTGTATTTCACAGCAGCCAAAAACAAATACTCCAGACAGACTTCACAAAACATTCCTGTTTACATGCATTTCTGTGCTTCAGTACTCTGAGGTCTTTCCTGACATATCAAATTCCAATTCTTAGTTATAAAGAAATGTAATTTTTTTTCTTTGGTCAGGGTGATCAGCTATGAAGAAGGGAAGGCTTTAGCAGAATCCTGGAATGCAGCTTTCTTGGAATCCTCTGCTAAAGAAAATCAGGTAAGGGATTTAAGATTTACTTTGTTCGAATAGCAATGTAATGGAATGACTCACAGTTTCACTGAATGGAGGAAGCTAAAAATATTTGCATGTACTCTGCAGATATTTTGTGTAGATGGTTGGAAACAAAAATGGCTGTCTGCCATTCAGGTGTATGGGTACGAGTTTTTTCTGTGCAACTGCAAGTCGGGGGAGGAACTGAAAGTTAAGCTTCACTGAACATAGCAGAACACTTAGTGACAAATTAAAATTCGAATCCACGTGGCAGGTGGGCCAGGGTCTGTGATCTGCTGCAGTTACCTTAAATAGGAGGTCACTGCAGTGGCAGAGGAGTGAGTTGGTAGAAGGGGCCAAACCTCGTGTTCTGAGGTGCTAGGTGAGGCTTGGTGTGTCTAATGTGGGAAATAAGCGTTTTGCGGGTCCGTGGAGCAGGAGGAGAAGCGAACAGAAAGAAGTTAGAATACAGCAGAGGCTGTCAGACCCTGCTGTGGTACAGCTGTAGTGAAGTTGCACAAACTGACGCAATGTAACCCACACACATTTACACTTGTTGCTGTCCTGTCACAGAAAGAAAGTGTTTAATTACATGTTAAATAGCATCTTAGTCTTGGTTGTTCTAACTTTCTTTAAAAAGCCTCCTAAAGATGTGCTGGTATTTGAATTTGTTCCTGTGGCTGTTGTTAATGCTTTGTCGTTGATGTGACACCTTATGTGTCTAAGCTACATGTGCCTCTTACTTTGGGCTTGAAGTCACGGATAACTGCTGCAGATTGGGGGGCAGTGTGTCTTTTCCCCTCTCTTTTTAGCTTTCTATTTTTTTTTCCTATAGTTCTCAACAGCATCAAAGCTTTTGCTTTTTGAAAACAGGCATATGATAGGGTCAGTTATCAGGCTAGTTTTAAACAAATGCATCCTTACGCAGAAGAAACACTTACGTTGTCTCATATTTAACCTAACATATCACATCCTTGGTCTCCTTGATAGAACATCAGCACAAGCAAAAGGGCAATCCTGTAGCTAGGGCAGGACCTGTTTAAGCAACCTTTCTTTCCCTCTCCCCTGTCCCCAAAACCCCCTTTTGTCTGCTGTCTATTGTTGACAATTCTACAAGTTACTCGAGTAAAGTTGGATTTTCCCTGGAAGAAAAGCTTGGCTTTTTTTTCTTTCTTTCCTCCTCCAGATGTGGGACACTTGGAATTAGTTTATCAGTACTTCTGTTTCTGGCTAAGACTTGCATTAACAGTGTCAAAATTTGGCATGATGAAAGCATGAAGTTTCTTGGTAACTTCTCTGTACTGCTGGAGAGCTTTAACTGCATACCCGAGGAAACTAAATTGACATCGTAAAGAATAAACCAGTTTAAAGTGTCTGGGTTCCCCCCCCCTTTTATTTTAAATGACTGAATACTTATGGATTAGGCAAAGCTATTCCCTGTACTCTTTTTCTTTTGGCCTATGTTTGCAAGGGGTAACAGAGCAGCAATTTGCATCTAGCAGAATGTCTTACTGATAACTTTTCTGAAGTTTGTATTGTTCTTGGTTCAAGGGAAAAAGAATTTGGGTATAGTTATGCAAAGAAGCCACAACCTTTGCATGATGCTTAGCATGTCTTGCATGTCAAATTGCTGCACTAACAAAGTCCCATTGACTGCCATGTATTTGTGTCTGCTCCTTAGTCTCAGACTGTCTGTATTCAGCTGCTGGCTGAAATTTATATGGCAAACTTCGTAGCCTTCGGGGAAATGGGAATGTCAATTTTATGTCAGGTACTCAAAATTCTGTACAGCCCTGTACAAATACCACAAAAAAAAATCAGAAGTCGTGTTCATTCTTGCTGTCAAATGATGTTCTTACCACGTCTTCCTTTCTTTTTAGGATCCTTCAGAATAGCCATCACAGCTCACTGTAAGGGCTGTCCCTCTGGATTTAGACACAGGTTGTTAGAAACAAGTGCTCGAGCACAATTCCTCCTTCCTGCCTCTTGCATAATACACTTGGTAAATTTGTCTGGCTTCAGAAGTTTGGGACACCATTTGTCCCTTCTGAGGTGGGTGCCCACAACACTTGTCCATGTTTCAGGCTCTCTGATGCGCTTCCTTTGGAGGCTTGGGATGTACACACGAAAGCGTGAAGGAGCCCGGAACTGGGGCAGCTGCCTTAGTCTTCTCACAAACGGTTGCAGAGGAATGCTCACCTCTGAGGAGGTGGAAGATTGAGCTTTGAGAGCAAAGTGTGGACTCCAGAGCTGTGAGGTGCTGGGGCAACAGGAGTCACCAGGCATTGAAGCATCCCTTCCTGTGGGTTAGACCAGGAGCACTTCGGGTGTGGTTTTTTCCCTTCCGAATCCTAATTTGGCAGGATCAAAACAGCTGATACATAGACCTCTATCAAGACAGACTATCTTCTCTTGCTCTGAAACTGTCTCTGGTTTGAGGGGGAAAGGGTTTATTTTGAACTTGACGTGTTGTCATTCTCCTGGTACTGAATGTTCACCTTAAGTCCACGTTACTGGAAAAGGAAGTTCATCAGCACTTCTTGCTCTGAGCTTCATCCAAATCATCGCCTGCACTGGCGTGGTACAGCAAATGTCACTTGCCTATCAAGCTTAAGTCTAAACTCCTTCCAAAACTGCTTCAGATTCCGTTTGCTTTACGGAAAGCTAATTTGATGCTTAGAGGGATGAGCTGAACTGGATTGGGAATTTAAAGCTTAAGAACTTCAACAGACAGCTCAAACCATCCTGACTGGGGGAAGTCTGTTAATCCTTTCTCTCTAAAACTTAGCCATCTGTATTTGGTGGATGCAGAGCAGAAGTATGACTTTTTGTAGTGTGCTGGTCTGAGAGTGGTTTGGTATGTGATGTTCTTCACAGCAGCAAGGAGAGCAGGTCTCCGTGCTGCAGGGGTTAGACCAAACTTGATCAGCTACGTGGTCTGTCCTTTAGAACTGCTTTGTTTGCAAGGAACTGCTGAAACCAGAGAAGATATTCCCTGTAACAGGTTCTGATAGCGGAGGCTCCGTACAGGGGGGTGGGAGAGAATTGACTCTTCTCCTTCCTGCTTTGGAAAAAAAAAAAAAAAAATCCTTCTTGGAGCATCTGTGAGAGTTCTAGGAGCATAGCCCTACTATATTGGGCAAGTAAAATAGTTCTATAGATTAACTTCAGCAAACTGGACCTATTCTGCCAGGAGTTATCAAAAGATAGCACGTTCCAGAAGTGGCATGACTTTGAACAGATGGAGAACAAGAGGGGTGAAGATCAAAGCTGTGGTGACGATAAATGGTAGCAGCTGGCAAGAGTTCTCAAGGTCAAATACATTTGAGGCTGTGTATCAGCTCTTCCAGACAAGGGTGACCTGGTAGGACTTTTGGAGGAGCCTGCCTATGAGCAACGCATCAGTCACCTAGGGAAATCCCTGGCTTTGAGAAGGCAATTCTGATGATCGAGAAGGCGTCTTTTGGATAACTGCTGGGCTATTACTGTCGTGTCTTCTCAAGCTGCTTAATTATTACCAGATATGTTGAACTGCTTTGGCTAACTTTAGGAGCTTTGAGCCTTTCTTGTGAAATTTCCTACTTCATTTCACCTAAGCCATAATACAGTGCTTCATCTTAATCCCAGCACTATAAAGTGGTAACTGTTTGAAGTACAACCAGAATCCAAACTGGTCTTAAACCCAGTTGAAGCTGGGAGCCAACTTTGGTGGAAGAATTTAGGGAGTAACAAGCAGCCGAATTGTGGTGTTCTAGTTATGCAAAGCTCGTTAGATAAACTTGTTTTAGAAGGGGCAAGGAAGTAGCAAAAAAATCTACTTCTCACCAGAACGGAGCTGTCTTAAAAAGCAGTTGCTTGGGCATTGCTTCTTTTTCAAGAGTGACTTCGTGTTCAAGCTCAGAAGATGCAGTGCTTAGTAAGTGCTTCAGAGGGGTTTGGGATCTTAGCCCCTTTCCAGGGGTCCGACATGTTTACCTGGGAGAGTGTGTTTGGATTGGCAAAGGGCGGGGGGGGAAAACCTCTCCTCCTTTACCTGACTGTTGTTCAAGTTCCTTTGCTCGGTTCTGTGCCAAGATAAACTAGTAGTATGAGCACTTGAGTTTCCTCTTTGAAATAATAAAACAGTTGCATAGCTGAAAAATACACATACCAAAAGGTGACTCAGGTGGCTGTGGGCTGGACTTGGGTGTTTGCATCTTCCTGCGCTGGCTCCTGGCAGCGTCTTCCGAGTCCCCAGTCGTGCAGAGGATTGCACCTCCCGAGCTGGCTGTCCTGCTCGCAGCACAGGGCGCATCTGCAGAAGCAGTTGAGCCTCTGGTGTCTCTCGCACAGCGCTAAGCTCTCCAGGCAGCGTGTGTTGCCCAGGCTGACATCTGTCTTGTTGCCTCAGGCGAGGAAGGTAGAAGAAAGCCAGCTGGGTTTCTGCAGGCTAGGTGCGACCCACATTCTGTAATTGGACCATATGGAGATAAATGCATATAAAGTCTGGCTTCTTTATTCCTTGTCACAAAACACAGCTTCCTGCGTTGTTCAAAAGCTCATTCTAAAATTCTTCAGCATATTTGGGCGGAATTACAAATTCCTAAGCGTCAGGGCAGTGATTAAACCTTCTCAGTGAATACGTATATTCTATGAAATGAATTAACAAGCCCTGTGAACGCCTACATCTTAGTGTTTCGAACAGCACGTCTTTGACAGAGAACGTGCAGCTTCTTGGTTGACAGAGTAAGTTGTGGAGGTTTTTTAATGGGTGCTTTGAAGTAGGGGTGTAAAAAACTTGTGCATTAAAATGAAACCATTGAAATCTTCAATTCTGAGGAAACATAGGTGCAGTGTATTTGTAAATCAGTGTATGACCAAGTTTTGATTAAGGGAAACTCTTCATTAGGGGAACCAGTTTGATAGCAACTGCAGTTCTGACCACGGTTCTCCTAGAGTCTGATTTCCTGAAGAAATGTGTTGGGTCGTTACTGGAGTAATACGCCACTTCTGTCAGGTTCTGTTGGGATCGCAGAGAAGCTCCATGATATGGAGGAGTACACTATTTCCAGCTGGTGGAGTCTTTTAAATAGATCCAGAGATAGTCCTGTGCACAAACAGCATAAATATGGGAAACTTTAAAATTGTCGGCACTTGTTAAGATTGCTTTAAGGTTGTGCGGGGCTACTTCAAGTCGATGGGGTTAATTTAGAAGTGATCCAGTTGAGAATTGCACCTTGTGGAGGCAGAAGAACATCTATCAGGTCAGACACACAGTCATAAATCACAGGGTGCTCTTCAGCCTGGTGATTAAAACCAACAAACCCCCCTTTTTATCCTCTTTCATAATGTGACTGCTTTTATGTAGTGAATATACTTTCTTTCTTAACGTATTCCAACCATATGCTCCTTAAAGGGAGGGTTGGAAGTTAGAGAAACTTCGTGGCGTGTCTGAGATGATCAGATCATTTCGAAGTTGAAGATTCACATGCTGAAGTACTGATCATACGGTGAACCTTCAGCTCAAAAATACCATAGAGAAGAAAAGCACTTTAGAATGGCCCTTGACTGTAGTATAGGTCTGTTCTTCTTAACTTAGTTCTAGCCCATCTCGGATGCTGCATCTTGTCGTTTCTGTATATTCTGATGGAGACTAGTATACAATTTTGAAACCCTTAAAATCCAGTGAATCTTGAAAATACCAGATGAACAGCATAAGGTATTTACAAGTAGCATTCATGGTGTTGTACCAGATGCCTTACTCTTCCCATCTTTCAGTATCCTCAAAAACAAAACCTCACCAAAAACCTAACTACACTTAATTAAATTCTGCTGTAAAATCTCCTGAATCACTGAAGTGATCTGACATCCTTCCTTAGAGTCTCTGCTTCAATTAAACTTATTTGCATGGGAAATCGTGTGTTTCCTTCCCAAGACTTTTAACTTGTGCTCACTAGCACGTGTGTGTCGGGAAGTATCGCCCTGCTGAGCCCATGCTCTCCCGTTTCATCTCCTGGAGCTTCGGTAGGGGCAACCCTGTTTCACCAGGCTGCTTTGTGCTCAGCGTGGAGGGAGGTGGCTCAGCATAGACCAAGCGGAGTTGGCAGCAGAACAAGTGGCTCCTGCTCTGAGGGTACTTGCTGCCTTCCCTCTGAAGGGGAGAAGGGATCCGTCATGTGAGGCGGGGGTCACGGTTTAGCAGAGATTAGACTCTGTGTAATCCTGCGTTGCGTACACTAAGCTAGGAGGTCTGCTGAGCCTCCCCGTGGTTATCCTGTAGTTCAAGCTGTTTAAAATACAAACCCCTTTCTCTCAGAAGGGCTTTATCAAAGGATATTGCTTAATGTTACACAGTGGCTAGTTCGGCTCATGTTTTCCACTGATGTTCCTGCCCCATGTCTGGCACTGGTCTGACCTGTTGGTAAGGCGAGAAAATCAAGAATATTAAAGTAACCCTCACACAGCTCTGTGCGAAGTCAGTGTTCAGAGCTGAAAAGTCTGCTGCCTTCTGTAATTACTTTGGATTTTAAGGATTACTTCGAGGAAATGAATTGGTTTTTTCTTGGAGCAGCACAGCATCAGAATCGTCATTGCTGTCAGTCACTCAGTGCAAGCTTACTATTTAAAATAAAGCTGAATTACAGTTATTAGCTCTGTTGTGAGTATGGCTCAGTTTACACTTGCCCTCCCTGCAGTGACAGAGAAAATAGTTGAGGATCGCTGTGGAGGAGGTTACACTTTTCTTCCAAAAGGTTGTGTTCAAAACTGAAGTTACCATATTTTCTGTCTTTGATTTTGGAATAAGTGTTGGATGTGCATTTATCTGCTGGTATAGACAGTAATGCTAACACGTAAACATTATTTTTCTGGTAAGTGGGCAGTTTCTCCTTGTCTACTAAAGTTGTACTCTCTCTTTGCAGACTGCCGTTGATGTTTTTAAGAGGATAATTTTGGAGGCAGAAAAAATCGATGGGGCAGCTTCACAAGGGAAGTCTTCATGCTCAGTAATGTAATTCCACTGCAAAACCTGAAAACACTGGGAATACATTCTACCTGAAGAAGCAAAACTGCCCATTATCTTTAAGGATAAACTATGCTTTTTTTTATTTTTTTTTTTTTTCTTCTGTTAACCTGAAAGATAAACAGTTGGTTTGGAGCCTTTCCCTTCAGATTATGTTAAACTCTGACTCCTGTGCAAATGGCTTCACTTCCATTTTCAAATTTTAAGCAATCATATTTTCAATTTATATATTGTATTTCTTAATATTATGACCAAGAATTTTACTGGCATTAATTTTTCAGTGTAGTTTGTTGGTTAGAATAATCATCAAAATGATGCATATTGTTACACTACTATTAACTAGGCTTGGATATCAGTGTTTCTTTGTGTTAAATGTATACTTGTAAATAAAATAGCTGCAAACCTTAAATGCTCTGTTTATAATCTTCTGTTGATGATTCCGTATCAACTTTTTTTGTGAAAAACGTTCACCTGCTGACCTTAAGAGGAGGTGTGAGATCCTTGGAGCCATTGGATCGTTTGACTGCTGTTTGTGAGCGAGCCGAACCGTTTTTGCTACTAGAACTCCGGGCTGGCTGAGCGGCTCGGCTGTGCTTTGTGCTCGTCGATGGGAAGGAGACACAAGTGACCCCGTTGATTTGGAAGGGAAGGCAGGGCGTGGGTTCTCAGTTGGTTGCAGTTGCACTGTATTTTCCCTCTGTAAAGGTGAAGGGTGTGCAGATCTGCCCCACCTACAGGGCCAGCATACACCTGCACTACAGACTGTTGACGTGGACTTGTCACTCGAACGCTGTCAGGGTGGAGCAGATTTGCCCAGGTCACAAGCATAGACTTGCCAAGACAACAAAAATGTCGTTTAAAATAAATTGCACGTTCAGAACAAACTGATGTGGGTTGTTTATCGTGCATTTCTGTACTTCTGCATCTGGGTGGCACTGGTCGAGGTGAGTGGTCTCCTGGCACCTGGCTGTTCCTGGCAGCTTCCCCTGACCCACTTGCAAGTTTTTGCTTAGCTTTTGGACTGGAGGCTTAACAAGCCTTCATCACTCTCAAGTTGGGAAACAAACTACTTTGACTATGTATTCAAAAATTGCAGTTGACCTACTTTGTGTCTGAAAACAAAACCCAGAACAACAACAAAAATGAGGCTGATTTGGGGAACAGTTCATTAAAGGAACTGTTTCTCATGCATTTTCTGTCATTTTGAAAACTTAATTTCTGGCAGGAGGAAAATTGAATGTTTTTGCAACCATAATTAGCTTTTGCACTTCAGTCTGTGCTAAAAGATACAAATTCAGTG